AGTGTGGACTATATAATTATTTACGAATTTTGATTTATCAGGAATACAATTCCTTAATAGGTATTTGAAGTGTGTAACTCAACAATTCAACTGGTGATAGCAGGTAGGTACAAAGAAAACCGGGTCGCACGTCCAACCTTCTCACGAGCCGAAAGCCTCTCTTTTGAAACAGCAGAAACGAGCTTGCTTTATACAGCTGCGGACCGACCACGATTTGCATGCGAATCACGAGGCAACGAGATTTCACGTTAACTGACCGAGACTACTCGGCATAAAACGCGGGCGCCGCCATTTTGGTTTTCTTTTTACAGTTGGAAGGACCAGTGTTTACATACTGCGCAGATTCGAACGCGTTTCCGAGGTAGGCCATTTTCACAATTTTCCCCACACTCCCCCCTGATCTCATGATCACAAACAGGGCAGGGAGGTGGCGATCGTCGCCGTCGAGTCCCTCTCCGAAGGGGGATAACACAAGCTTCATCCTCGTGCGTGTTCTCGTCTGTGGTTTGAGTGTCGGTAAACACTGTGTCCGCCGGGAGGCTGCTGTTATCAGAATCGCTGCCCTGCAGGTCTAACTCAAGGCAGATTGAACGCTCACTACTCCCAGACTCGGAATCGCTTTCATCGCTCGGTAGCGGTAGTGATTGCGTCACCGGTCGCAAGTCTTTAATGTGACGAGGCACCCCATCAACTCTCACAGATTGCGGGCTGATAACCTCCGTAACACGTCCAGTGCCGTACTTTGTCGTACACTTGCCGCGTGGGTTTTTGACCCAAACGATGTCTCCTTTTTCAATCTCCTCCAGTCACTTCTAGTTCAGGCAGCGGGTTGGCTTCGATGCCCCTCACGCGGACATGATATTTGTGCAGTGCATCAGCCGGCGCCGTGGATGGTGAAATGTTATCCTTCGGGGCGACATTATACCAGTAAACCGCTTCCGAAACTGTGCAGCCCTTCCTGGCTGCGATGGTCTTGATGGTTCTGTGGTTCCGCTCCACGATGCCGTTTCCACTTGGCGAGTAGGCACATCGAAACCGCAGATGCACGTCCCAAGTGTCCGCAAATTCTTTAAAATCTTTACTGGTGAACGCAGTATCGTTATCCGTCAGTATTTCCATGGGTGGGCCTCGCTCCAGGAAAACATTCTCCAACAGTCGAATGACGGTGCTCGCGTCTTGTCTGCGCAGCGGCCGCCATACCGCGAACCTGGAGGGACCGCAATCAATGAGTGTTAAAAATTCTCACCATTGTAGTGAGTTATGTCCATTGCCAGTCTGCTCCAGTTGCTCTTCACGCTCAGTTCTCCTCTTTCCCAGTGAACGGGTGCCGGATCGATCGACTGACAGGTTGTGCAGGCCTTCACAACGGATTTAACGCTTTCTCTGGACACCTGCGGGTCGACTAACCTGGCGAAGTACAGGGTTCGTTTCACGCCCGGATGTCCGCATTGACGATGCGTATTGGCAACCTGGTCCTCATCCAGTCGTCTCCCTGCCACTGCACAGCTCTCGAGTGCCGGTTCTCCTCTCTTGAGCAGTTCTAGCCACCTGTGCGGTACTCTGGTGAGGCGATCTGCACGGTTCTGACAGGACTGCACAAGTGTCACGTCTACGGTCAATCCATATTCGTCCACCAACGATCGCAAAATGCCCAGCCGTCGCCTGACCAGCATCTCACCAGCCGCCCTTGTGTTCACCCGTGCCTTCCCGGTCAAGGTGTCTGAAATCCACCGGTGCACACACGCCGAATCAGTGACCAAGTGCAACGTTGTCGCCTCCCACTGGAGAGCCAGATTCACTCCTTTAAGCGCCGCATCGAGTTCAGCCAAATTAATGTGCCTGGCATCATTAGTCGGACGCAGCCAGCACGCATCTTCGATGACATTTTCGTTTACTTCCAATGCCACTCCTGTCGCCACGGAACTCGCATCCACCCAGACTGTGATCTCGTCACCACTCATGCACCAGTCTCCTCCGACGGGATCCAGTTCCCGCACTCTACTTAACATCTCTGCTAGTATGCGACAGAGAGAGGGATCTTTGATGTTATCATCCCATCCATTGGTTGCTGCGGTTGCCAGGCGCTTGACGAATGCAACTGCCACCCTGAGCCATCCACACACTGGGAAGTGTCCAACAAGTTTCCCACACAACGAAAATACGCGCCGCCGGGTCAACACATCAGGGGCTTCCGGAATTTGACTTCCTCGTTTCCATCGGAGGGTGCCATTTTCTTCCCAGACCTGCAAGCCAAGAACTCTTGCTCCATCTCTCAGTCGCACCGGATCCTGCACACCAAACCGTAATCCGAAAAGTGTTGTCTTACACGCGATGCAGAGGCCAAACTTTCATTAATGAAGATATCATCAACGTATGCTGATGTGGCACTTTCAATTGTGCGGTCTTGCGATGCGATGGCGTCTATAACGGATTTCATGATGAGTGGCGCTACATTTAGCCCAAATCCTAGCCGCGTAAGACAGAAGCGTTGGCCTTTGAAAATAACCGTTTGAAATGGCCACAGCGCTTCGTCGATGTGAATCTGAAGATATGCGTTCCGCAGATCCAGAAGCGACACATTGACTCCCTGCCGCCGCCACGTTCTCAACTTATGTGCGCACACTTCTGCATCGGCAGTGAAAGCATCCACAAAGTCGTTCAATTCGCGGTAATCGAGTACCGGACGCACCTTCTGTTTCTGCTCCTGCACGACTGCCATCAAGGGAATCAGACCCTTTGGGGTCCCAGTCTTTCCTGGGGGTATGGAATCAGCCAGCCGTTCACAATCCACTGCTGAAGCTCTTTCTCGTATTTTCCTCTGATGCTGTCTGGAACTTTGTACTCAGCGACCTTGTTGCGAAGCTGAACTGGCGGGTCTTTTTGGGCCCATTTCCACCTGGCGGTCCACACTCTCTCGTCGGAATTGAAGGAGACGTCGAAATCCGGCTCACTAACGCAAAGGGCTGCACACACCTTTCTTCTTTCACCCAGTTCCACATTTCCGGCTGGCGTGATCATCATGCCTCCTAATGCTCGGATCGCATCAATCCCAAGTAGCAGGTCGTACCCGAGGGGCCTTTGACGTGCCACCAAGACGTCGACTTTGGCATGACTCCCTCCGTCTGTTAGGACTGACACAGTCCCGACACCACAACAGGCCCGGGACACCCCGTCAATCGTCCGAATCTCGATTTGTTGACTGTTCCATGTCACGCATCGATCCGCGCTAACGATCGATCGGGAACATCCAGTGTCAACGAGCGCCGAACATCGTTTACCCTCAACGTACACGTTGATAACAGGCAATGCCGCATTTACTGACCGAGAGGGGCAAGGGTTGCGACAGCACCTTGTCCCCGGACTCGTTTCCCGAGCAATCCTGTGCTACATGGCCTAACTCTTTGCAGCGATAGCAGCGTAGTCGTGCACGGTTCCGCCTGCCGCTCCCTCCTACGTCACTTCGGCTCCGGCAGTCCCTAGAGAAATGGTTGGGTCCACCGCACTTGTAGCACTTTGGGCCCTCCCTCGGTGTCTCAGGCGTTCTCATGGCTGCCGCGATCTGTTCAGTGTCCTTCAAAATGTTTCGGGCCCTGGCTAGCAATTCGTCAATTCCCAGTGTGTCCAATCTTGAAGACGCTCGCAGGAGCCGACTGGTGTCGTCTGGAAGCCCTGCCAGGAAGGCGCACCCCAGTATGCGGTCCGTTGCTCCGCCAAACGGTACTGCCAGCCTTCGCAAATCAGCCAGGTCTCACCCACGGTCTCACCCGGCTCGAGCCGTCGTCCGACGAACTGTTTCCAAGCGATGAATGGATCTATTCCAAAGGCCGTATACAGGGCGTCTTTGATCTCTTCTAGGTCAGCATCGTCCCCGAGTTGTTGATATACTGCGTAGGCTCCTCCCGTGAGTCTCAGTGGGATGACTAGTGCAGGTTCCTTTATTTTGGACACCCTGCAAACACGTTCGGCCTTTTCAAACCATTCAACGATAGTCGGGCCCGTGGGGAGCCGTCGAATTCTGGGATCAACTTTAGATCGAACTTGTCCATTGCCGAAATAGCTTGAAGTGTGTAACTCAACAATTCAACTGGTGATAGCAGGTAGGTACAAAGAAAACCGGGTCGCACGTCCAACCTTCTCACGAGCCGAAAGCCTCTCTTTTGAAACAGCAGAAACGAGCTTGCTTTATACAGCTGCGGACCGACCACGATTTGCATGCGAATCACGAGGCAACGAGATTTCACGTTAACTGACCGAGACTACTCGGCATAAAACGCGGGCGCCGCCATTTTGGTTTTCTTTTTTACAGTTGGAAGGACCAGTGTTTACATACTGCGCAGATTCGAACGCGTTTCCGAGGTAGGCCATTTTCACAATTTTCCCCACAGTATTTAAATTTGTAAATAATATTTGACCTATTTAATTTTGTTCTAGGAGGTGAATTATTATTTTTAACTATAAGTTTAGATGTTTTAATTTTTTTGTAATAAATAATTAATCTAATTTTTTTGCTATTGTCAACTTGTTTTATGCATTTTTTTATAATGTTCTTAATTCTGCATTCATCCTGTTTATAATTTTCGTTCATCTAATTTTTTATAAAAAAATATTAATGTTATTGTTTATGTTTCCATTCTCGCTGTTGCTATTAGCTAACTTAGACAGGAAACGCCTGTGGAAATCCAACAATTGATTAGGAAATCCGTTATTAATCAGCGTTTGCTTTTGTGTAATTCTTTAAAGAAAAGCGTGCAATAGGATGAGTTTATATATATATATATATATATATATATATATATATATATATATATATATGTGTGTGTGTACATGTGTGTGTTTGTGTGTGTGCGCATGTGTGCCTATAAAACTTTTCTATGGTACTGTATATTTCCATATTCCTGTTTGTTCGCGTCGCTTTGATGCCATTTGACATATTCTTTCGAAACGTTTTCAATGTTCCTCAACACCATTTCGTTTCCGTGACAGATTGGCACATCAAAAATATGTTGCTGTTTTCTTTTAAGCTTAACACTTATTTCGCACTTTGTTTCATCACATGGAGCATGACGAAAGTCTCTCAACTGAAGTCTATTTCCCAGTTGCCCCTAACTCGAAAAGAATTAATAGATTACCATGAAATAGACATAAGGTAATCTCATTCAAACCTTCACCACTTAATTTATTTTGATTTTTCTTTTGAACACAATCATCTATCTATTTATCTGTCACAGTTGATATCTATCTATCTATATGAATATATATATATATATATATATATATATATCAGTTCATGTTCATGTATCACTGTTTCTATCTATCTATCTATCTATCTATCTATCTATCTATCTATCTATCTCATCCTGTTTATATCTAGCTATTTAGCTACCCGTCCCCTTTCGTTCCTTTCTATCTATCTATCTATCTATCTATCTATCTATCTATCTATCATAGTGTGTTCATATCTCTCTATCGCATTTTGTTCTTATCTATCTATCTATCTATCTATCTATCTATCTATCTATCTCGGCATATTTATTTCTCTATCACAGTTTGTTAAGTATCAAAGTTTGTTGATATCTATCTATCTATCTATCTATCTATCTATAATAGTTTGTTCATATCTGTTTATCGTATTTTGCTCTTATCTATCTATCTATCTATCTATCTATCTATCTATCTATCTATCTATCTCTCTCTCTATATATATATATGTATCTATCTATCACAGTTTGTTGATCTATCTATCTAACTCTCTATAATAGTTTGTTCATATCTCTTTAGCAATCATATATTGTTCATATCTATCTATCTATCTATCTATCTATCTATCTATCTATCTACTTATACAGTGTGCGGCAAAATTAATGCTCTATTTTTATTAATTATATTAACACATTCAAGGGGCTTCCCTTCATGTTCAATACAACGCTGAATAGTATCAGCAATATTTCTACAAAACATTTTACACATTACTACATTCATTTCAGAAAACTGTTCAGAAATTTTAGTTTTAATTCAGGAAATCTTTTCGGTTTGGGCCTGTAGAAAAGAAAAAGTCTGGTGGTGTTTAGGTCAGGTGCTCGTGAATATTCTGAAATGTTCGTATTGGAGTTTCTGGCGCGAATGCTAAACAGTACACCATACTTTCCAAAGTTTGGGTGGAGTGAATTGCGTCATGGTGCTCTTTTTCTCACAGATGGTGCCCAACTGACACCACTATACTCTGCTTGTGATAAAATAAAATTAAAGAAAAAAAAAAACACAATTGTCAGGCTTAGGAACAGCATGAAAATGGCAGTCCCTGAAATTAAGCACTTTAAACCAAAAATATAGTATATTAAAACGTTATTTTATCACACATTCACACACAGACACACATATATATATATATATATATATATATATATATATATATATATATACCTATATATATATATACCTTATTATAAAATGCAGATTGTGTGTGTGTGTGTGTCTGTACGTTTATATATGGGATCGTATTTCCTACATTTTTCAACCGATTTCATCAAAACTTCACAGGACTACGTAAAATTACATTGCGGTGGTTCTGACAGCACCAAAAATTGGAAAAACACAATTATTTTTGCATGAAATCAATTTGAAAGCATGATTAAGAGACATTAATGAAAGGGAACAACTCATATCGAGTTATACTTATTATAAAACCCAGGTTGGTTGTTTGTGTGTGTGTTCATTTATATATGGGATCGGATTTCCTACATTTTTCAACCTATTTCAACAAAAATTCACTTTTGTTTGGCAGGTAGTGTTTCTTATTGTCTTGCACACTTTTTTCTTTATTTTTACATTCAGAATGCTTTAAAAAATTCCATTTACAAGACAATTGTTTATAATAAAATTCTATTCAATCAGTAGACTCATAACGATTGAAAACAATGTTTTTGTTTGAGTTTGACCAATTCGTAAAAAAAAAAACTAATTAAGACATGCGCGTCCGTCAACCTAAAAAAATAACCTTTGTCAATTTTATTTTTCAGTCTTTATGATGGTCGATACTTGATCTGTCTCTTACTGTTACATCCCCAGGCAACGCCGACCTCTACTGCTAGTATATATATATATGATATATATATATATATATATATATATATATATATATATATATATATATATTAGATATATAAGTTTATATTATATATATAATTTTATATTAGATATATAAGTTTGTTATGAAAACACTGCAACGAGTGCAGAGGATCGCCTCGACAGTGATGTTATGACTTGGGGTCATGACAAGTTTCTGGTCTTGCAACATTATACTTGTTCGCCCAAGCCACCCTACTGAAACACTACTATTCTGGCAGGCGATCCCGAAGCAAAAAATCCGCCAAACACGCAACTGATGGACACATTAAGTAATTGCCACTGCTGATATTGAAATTACAAGCGACCAATCATTAACGACTTACGTTACCTCCTCCTCAGCCAAAGACGATGAAAAAAAAAGAATAGACAGCATACTTGTCTTTTTTCCCATCTTAGGTCCACCACGCTTAAAGACCCACATTCTCAACGAACAGTTTGACAATTTTCCTTTCATATGAAGCGTTGCTTCAAAGAAAAAAAATAAATATATATATATATATATATATATATATATATATATATATATATATATATATGTATGTATTTGATACGTTCTGTCCATGATATTGAGAACTTTAAGCCAAAAATATAGTATATCTTAAAACTTTGTTTTTTTTTTTTTCTTTGTTTGGAAGTAAAGTCTGATGATCCGCAGTCCTGTAAAAGGGCTGTGGTGAAATAATTTATTACATTGAACTATAAAGTGGTCTGTTTTTACTTAATATATATATAATATATATATATATATATATATATATATATATATATATATATATATAAGGCAGGATGTGTATGTGTGTGCAATGAATGCACGTCCGCAATTTTCGACGGATTTGTACCAAAATATACATGCACGTTCTCCAAGTTAGTGGGAAGGCCAAGATCGACTTTGCATTTCCCAACTCCCATCAATAGTAGAAATAATCGATTTTTCATGCTTCTACGGCAGTTTTCATGTAGTTTACGGCTAATTTCTACTGGCCAGAGTGAGAGCCAATAGCTGGCTGCCACGAATAGGCAGGAAGATTCTATTGGCCAGCGTGAGAGACAACAGCTGACTGACACAAAGGTTAACTAGCATGCTATCATGCAAAAAAAAAATCGATAGCTGCATTCGTCACAAGTGGGAAAATCTTAAATCTGCATGGCACTTTACTCCAATTAGCTCATTCGTTCACTTAAACTCAACGTTGATTCTGATTCCGCAGAACTGGGTTGGGTGTGAAAAGTATTTGTTCTTAAGATTCTTTTTTCATTCGTTTTTTCCAGTTACGAATCCTTTTTCGTAACAAATTTAATGTTTAGTATAGAGCTTAGAAAAAATTCGCAGTGTGAGATAGGCAAGAAGTAAGGCATGTAACCATATCAGCACGGCAAAGGGAACTCCTTTAAAGGCAAGGAAGGGCAAACATATTTTAAGTCAAGTGATAGCGATTGCTATATGAGTCGTACGATTTTTGAATCAAACACTTGCAACGCCGGGCCATGCTGCTAGTATATATATATATATATATATATATATATATATATATTCGCTTGACGATGAAATGGAACTAATGTCTTTAATTTAATTACAAAATTAAATTCGAAGCTTTCAGCTTCAATTTTTGAAACATGGTTAGAACTGTGTAGCGAAAACATATTTTAAATCAATTAATTTATAATATTAATACTCTGTAAATTTACATTGAGCACTATTATGTAAAAATTAAAAATATCTATGAGAACACCGGATTATATATCTTACTGTTCTTTCTTTTTATTTATATATTTATATTAGATGTATTTACAGCTTCTATCAATTAATATAATTTCAAAATCTAAAGAATTCTTTGTTAAAAATAATTTAATGCATAGTTCTACAAAGAACGCTACTTTTCGCCATCAGTATCACTCGTGAGGAGCTTTCTTCTTGTGAACATCATCGAAGATAATTTATTTTTTCGACAATTTTTATTTGTATTGTAACGAATAATCTATTTTTATAACGCTGCAATTCATTATTTACAAGCTTTTACTCAGGTACTTTCCACGTGTCTACAAGTTGTTCATAATACCTAGTATTCCTAAACGGTCACCTAGGTAAATTAATGTATACAACATGGAGCTTTTTTTAATAAAAGTGCCAAACTTTTCAACAGTCGAGCTCTCTGCCTTGAGCAGAGAGGAACCCGGACGAAACTTTGCCCTTCGGCAAAGTCTCGTCCGGGCCCGGACTCGTTTATGCGTGTTTTACGGGAATATTTTTGGCCGAGCCTACGGGATCGGAGAACCCATGGTAAACTCGGCCTTGTGCTACGTAGATCTCTCGTTGGGGAGGGAGTGTTGTTAAATAGAGGCACGGTGGGGTAATGGATAGCGGCTTGGATTGAGGAATCGGAGAGCCGAGTTCGAATTCCAGTTGAATCCATTACATTCACTTACGTGCTAATACCCTTGGGAAAGGTGTGAATCCTCTTTCTTCTACCTCCAGCTATGGGTAAATAGCAGGACAGACTGGGTTCTATAGCCTTGGATGGCAACTGGTCTAGGAGAAGGAAAACTCTGAATTCAAAACCTGCTCTTAGAGGAGGGTGAATGGAGTCTCTCTGAGCTTGGTTGGCAATCCATTTAGTGTTGGTGTCACGATAAAAACACCCTTGATAGCCCTAGCGAAGCATCAAGAATTCAGCTATTTGACAAGATTACGAACTACACCAATCAAAGTATTGGTGAGTTCAATCTCGGCTGAGGCCGCAAGAGAGAGAGAGTTAAATATTAACATGGAACTTTTTTTTAATTATTTTACCCCAAGCCAGGCGGTAATTCCACTAAGACAGAGAGAGTTACAAGAAGTGAAAATGAAAGAGAAGACTGAGAATAGTGGGGACTGAGTCTTGCATTGCGCCATTCTTCTGGTCTTGTCTTGGACTGCTCCAAATATGAAAAAAATGAAAAAAATGTTGAGTGGGCGTTTGGTGATGGTCTTGAGACGATCATAATAAAGTTGCCTTCTCTTTCTTCTCCAGGATCGATGATCACTAGTTTCTTTGCTTATCAAATGAGGCAAAATGAGAAATTCACCGATAGGAATTTAAAACTTATCTATTTGATTAACACGCAGACGTGTACATTTTTAACTAGAAAGTGGGGTCGCTCTATCACACCCAATTTCCTCGAGACACGAAATAACCACGTCTGCTCTCTTCGATGTCTAAAACTTAACTCCGCTAAAAACATTTTTCCATCTCTCTCACATTCCCACGTTCTGCTCAGCCAATCAAAATCGACATCCCTATTTTGTCTACCATCTGACCGTAAGGTCAACTTTAGAAGGCCTGAGCCAAAATACACTGCTATTAAGAAAATAATAGTCTGAAACTATTATTTAATCTGACAAAAGCACAAAAAGATGGACGGAGAGAAGACGGCGACAGACGTTGCATTTAAATTTTTCGAAGATTTTAGTTATCATGTAAGCATGTAGACAGAAAGGATGTCTACGGAAAGTAAGTGAAAGAAAAGAAACTGTCAGACTAAAAGTGGAGGTTGTATTTAGATATTTCAAGTGTGAGACCTGGATAGATATCTAGTAGTACACTTAAATGAATATCGTCGGGACATCGGGGAAAAGCTAGTCAGAGCCTTGCCATGAATCTATTTATAGAAAAGAGAGAAGGAAGCCAGGTCAGAATGTGGCTGATTTAGAGATGCCTGGTCTGAATCGATTACATTACAGATCCTTCTTCTTTTTATTTCAAGAAAATTAAGATGTACAGAAGGCGTACCAGATTACATATAACATTTAAATATCTTGTTTTCAAATATAAATTTTTGACTGCGATCTTACAGTTTTTTGGCGGGAAAAATACAAGCCGTGTGCGCAATTCCCAGAGAATAATGATTCTTAGAGTGTAGTCATTCTTGTCTCTTCTTTCTGATCTTAATTTGCCGTATTCACATAATATGGTTAGCAATTTGCTTCACTGTCGCCATATGTCTTTGTTTTGTTTTTTTTTTTGTATGTGTGATTTGTATATTTTTTTTGGTTTTTGTGATTACCGCGTTGAGAAACAGGAATTTCCTATTGGAAAATGAAAAAAAGAGAAGATTGCTAAACTGTAATGATATACCAATTCGTCTATATGACAATAAAACCCAGCAAATTTCCTCACAGATGAAGAGAAAGCAAGACCCAACAGAGATCTAGTTTGACAAAAGTATACAGAGGCTACCATAGACTAAGAATATGAGTAACGAGGAAATTTTAAGAAAACTAGAAGCAAAAATACATTTATACGTAGAATCAGTAAAAGTCGGTTGATATTTCTAGCACACATATTGAGGAAAGACTGCTTGGAAAATTTGACACCCATCGGACATATTGAATGCTTGAAGGAAAGATTTGATTAACTGATTCGTTTTTTTACGAATTACCAACATTTTGCAAGTTATTTAAAGCCAGAATATATTTTTAGATTGTAAGAATTTCCTTTTTGAGATAATAATGGTTTTAGTGATACAAGACTAATTAACCTATAGCTGTGGGTAGAAGAGATGGATCCATGGATTTTCCAAGGGTATTTGTTGCGCCTAAGTGAATAAAACGAACCCAACTGAAATTGGAACCCGGCTCTACGATTAACAATTCAGAGCCATTGTCCATTACACCACCCGCACATCCAAGCTTACTGCAACTGGTATTACCAAATGGTCACTGGTATTGACCAGGTTTGACGTAGCTTAACTTCTGTGATCGTACTGGAACTTGTGTTTTAATGATTTATGGCCGTGAGCCTAGAGGGACACTGATCAACCTAAAATAACGAGCTCCTATAAATGGATGGCAAGACAACGGCTGAAAAGTATAGTGGGAAAATACATTTTCTATGTTGTATAGGGAGTTTTGGGGAATGCTTGATGATTAGCATAGAGGGACACCTCAAGCTGCAAGCTACGCATTGTTGATGTGATAATTAAACAAGTACAGAAGATGTCAGTAAATAGGAAACATTAATACCAATTGGAATAAAGAAAGACGCCTTCCAAAACCTAAACAAAGTATTAAGAGATAGGAAAATTACAGAGACAAGAGTAGCAATTTTTTTTCAATCATAACACCCCAAACAAGGCGGAAATGCTACTAGTACGCAGGGGTTACAAAATGTGAAAGTGAGAGAAAAAAAAAACTGGGTATAGGGTGGGGACCAAGGAGCGGATAAAAACTGAAGGGATTCAAGACGACAGAAGACTGTAGTTTTCTGGGAAACAATAAACGGAAGGGAGTTCCACAGGCGGGAAGTGTGAGAAAACAAACAGTTGTAGTAGAACTGGCGGTTACATTTAACTATTTCAACATTAAACGTGTGGGACCTAGATGCCAATCTAGTGACACGTTTAAATTCACGTCGTCAGGGCAATAGGGAGAAATCTCGTCAGGCCAGTAGCCATGAAAATATTTATAGAAAAGACAGAAGGAAGCCAGATCACGTCTATAAGAAAAGTGACTGAAGTCGAGCTGCCAAGTCAGGATTGATTACATTGCAGATGCTTTTGTGCGAATAGCAGGAGCACCAGACCAAATATGGCAGCAGTATTCAATGCACAGCCGAATGGTAGATTTGTAAATGTGTAAGATGGACTCTGACGAGAAAAAAAAAACCTTTGTCACGTCACAATAAACCAACTTTCCTTGCAGTAGATACAGCTATTGATTCAGTGTAAAATGCTATATAATATCGATCCTCCTATATGACAGTAAATGCTGGACTATTTCCTCACAGAAGTTACTTCAAGGAAAATAAATGTGTTTTTCTACAGAGATTAAGCCTGTAAGCAACGGATATACTTAGCATCAGAAAGAGACAGTTGGAATGTCTAGAATACTGAATAAGAAAATCAGGTTTGCCATAGATGAAAGGTGATATTACATAGAAATTAGGCCCATTTTTCTTTGTTTGTTATTACTTAAAATAACTTAATTTTCCAGTTTCTTGATACTCTGATACTTAGCTTCTGGAAGGCATGTTTTGCTATTCCAATACGACTTCAGATTTCGATGTCACATTTTCAGTTCTCTTTTATAACACTTTTAAAAGAGTTATTTAGATTTTCGTACTTTTGATACCTCTTGTTCGAAGCTAGAATTCTGGGTAACTTCTCTTAAAAACAAGCGATCATTCTGCCATTTTTTTTTTGTTTTTAAATTGATTGTTCTTTCTTCTTGCTTTCCTTTACTACTTTGTCTAGATACTCTTGTGATTTATCTTTCTGCTTCTACCATTTTTTCCATAGAATTTTTATATTCTTTATCGCGTTTCGTTCATATAGTTTTTTTTACGTTTGTTTACGCCAAGTTTAGATGCTTTTTTTTCCGTTTGTTTAGTTCCGGTTTTATATTTTTTTTCTCAGTTTTTCTTCGTTTAAGCAAATCAATTGTTTTACGCGGTTTTTGCGCGATATTTTGATTTCATTCATAAAAAATAAAGAAAGAGATGATAAACTGGGAGTTTTCTCACCGCTGTTTTTTTCATTCTTCCTTTTACTTTTTTTTTTTTTTTGCCTATTTCTTTCATCGTCTCGTTTCTTTTTTTTTTTCGTCTTTTATCGGTTATTTTCATCTCTTTCTTTTTTTTTACTGCATTTCGTCAATGTACGAATGGCATAACTGCTCGGAATAAGTAATCGGAGAGCTGATTTCGAATCTCCGCCGAGTTTATTACCTCCCCTTAACGTACAAGGGAAATGTATAGATCTATCATATTTATTCGGGAAAAAAATGTTTATGCAATATACACCTGCAAAAAAAAAAAAAATAATAATAATATTTGTAGTTTATTTTTTGTTAGTTTTTTACGGTTTATCAACCCATTTCAGGTTATATAAAGCCAGATAATATTAGATTGTAAGAAATTTTTCATTTTTTTGCATGTGTTAACCGGTAAAAGTCTTAATAATTAACTCATAGCCCTGAGAGAATAGCTGGATTCATGCCTTTCCTAAAGGTCTTGAATATAACGACCTCAACGGGAATTGGGACTCGGCTCTCCGATTAACAATTCCCAGATATTATGCGTTACATCATCTGGACATCCAAACTTAGAACGTCTGATGTTCCCAAGCGGTCACTTATCTAATTAATGTCCAGTCTCGACGTGTTTCAATGTGATGTGGCTGTGAGCTAATAATATTTGTTCTTACTCTCCAAAATATATTATTGCATAAATAACGCACAAAGGGTTGATAAAACGTAAAAAAAAAAGTCGTTACGTACATCTTTTCTTCATATTTTTTTGTTTTATCATTTTTTTTATTTCTCTTGTTTATTTCTTATATCATATCTTTTTTTTTTGTTTTATTTTGTATATTGTCAGGTTTTTATTCCAGTCAAATTGGATACCAATAAAACCAGGTCACCAACACTTAAGTTTATTACTATTTGTAGGATGTTAAACAAGACTTACTTGATTTGTATCGGTTTTCACCCTGGTCGGGTTGAACCGGTTTCCACCCGAGCAAGTACATCATCACGGACCATCGCTGCCCACGCTCGCCGATCCCGAGCCAGGTCACATGAAATGGCGAGCCAATCGCGATTCCATCGTCGAAGACCAACTACTTGTGGACCCGATAGTACTGCTAGGTCATCCTTGATTGTGCTAGCCCACGTCCTCAGCTGGCCACCGACACGTTTTCGCCAGCCAGGAAGAGAAGGAGGGAGAAGTACATAGCGGAGGAGCTCTCCCTCAGGGCGTCGAGCTGCGTGCCCAAACCATCGGAGACGACGCTGGAGGAGGACGGGTGGAAGAGGACGGAGACTCAGGCGACGACGTAGAGTGGCCGTGGGCACACGATCGATTCGGCAGCATCGTAGAATGCAGCGAAGGCAATCGTTGTCGAACAGTTCGTAGGTCAACCGCTCTAAGTGGCCAACTAAGTAGTCAACTTTGCGGTTGCTAATCGTCTTGTGGTGACTAACACTCGTTTCCAGCACCCGCGACGACATCTCGTCACCTGGCGCTCCAATGACGGTCGTATATCCAACTAGATTGATTACATTCTGATACGGGCGAGATGGGCAAGCTCTGTGCTCTATCGGGGTGCAGATACGGGCAGTGCGCATGGATCGGATCGTACACTTGTTCGCGCAAGCCTCCGACTGCGACTGCGGGCAAGGAGATCCACCAAGATCCTGAAGCTAATCAACGTCGCCAATCTGAAGCTGCCCGCGGGAGAACAGTTCAGGTTGGAACTTCGCAATCGGTTCTCTCTCTTCCAACCAAGCTCAGAGCCTCAACCAGAAATTGAATGGCAGGCTCTCAAATCTGCCACTGTCGAAGCGGCACACGCCCATCTTGGTAACACCCGTCACCGATATAGGGACTGGATTACCGGGGAGAGCCTTCAGCTGGTGGAGAAGGCGGGGGTAGCGCGACTGACAAGTGTTGCGAAATTTCGCGATCTACGGCGCCGCGTAACTCACTCCATCCGCGCTGATCGAAATGCGTATTGGCGCGCCTTCACCGAAGAGACTGAACGTGCAGCAGCCTGTGGCCTCTCTCGCAAAGATAGTGAGGCGGGCGAGTCACGGAACTCCGGGGTGAGTGAGACGCTTCGCTGCCGTGGTGGTACTATTATCGCAGGTCTGGGCTAACGGCTAAATCGGTGGAAAGAGCATTTTAACGAGCTACTCATTCCTCCGACTCCGCCGACGGAAGTGGCCGTTGAACCGACCGATGAATACGACTGCAACCCTGCACCCCCAACGGTAGATGAAGTGCGAGATATTCTGCGCCATCTGCGTAACAACAAGCCTCCTGGTGAGGATGGTATATCTGCAGAAGTATATTAAGCCGTGACAGATGTGTTAGCCTTGTGGGTGCATCGTGTCTTCAATGCGGTATGGCTCTCTGAGTTCTCCCCTGCCGATTTGAGCGAGGCCATTCTGCTACCTTTTTTCAAAAAGGGTGATAGGAGACTCTGCTCGAACTACAGAGGAATCAGCCTCATCGACGTGGTGGCCAAAGTATTTGCAGTGCGTCTCCTGCGAAGATTTCAAGGCATCCATGATCTGCGAACTCGCCCGTCTCAGGGTGGCTTCCGCCCGGGCAGAGGCTGTGTTGATCAGATCTTCAGCCTGCGGCGCACCCTCGAACAACGCTGTGCATACCAGCAACCAAAAGTCCTCTGCTTCGTCGACTTTGCGGCTGCTTTCGACCCCGTTGATAGAGACTCACTCTGGCGTATCATGGAGACCAATGGTATGCCCGCTAAACTCCTTCGTCTCATCAAGGGCTACTACCGGTCGACGCGAGCCCGTGTTCGTGCTTATGGTGAGGAGTCAGGGACGTTAGAGGTGAAGACTGGTGTGCGGCAAGGGTGTGCCCTATCCCCTACCCAATTCAACTATACAATCGACTACATCCTCGGCAAGGCCATACGGGACTACTATGGAGTTAAGGTTGGTCGGAATGTCAAGGTGTCTGATCTTGCCTACGCGGACGACATTGTCTTGGTCAGATCGAACTGTGACGATGTGCAAGCTGTGCTCAACCGTGTTCAAGCTGCAGCACGGGATGTGGGCATGACCATCAATGCCTCTAAAATCAGTTATGCCGCTTGACGGGGTCAATGTGGAGGACGTGCAGTCTTTCGTCTATCTCGGTTCAACCGGGCAGGCTGCTGCTGAGGTTGAACGCCGTATAGGAGCTGCAAGTTCCACATTCGTGCGTCTCAAGTGGTCACTATGGGGGGTGACGGGAGATTTCCACGGCTACGAAGAGGCGCATCTATCAGGCTATTGTTCGGTCTATTCTTCTCTATGGCTGCGAAACAAGACTTATCCGCCCATAATATCTACATCCGTGTATTTTGGTCTCACGTTAGATCGTTCAGATCAGACCGTTTTAGCCCATATGATTCCCTATATTCTTGCAGAATATGTTTATTAGAAAATGTTTTAGTGATATCCCAGTTCGATTAACTGCATTCTGGAGTTCATCACAAATTCCACTTTATTCTTAGAATGCTACGTTTGCAAATGAGTGGCTTTAAAATCTCGCACATTAATCATGACATATACAAATTATTATTCTTTCATGTAGCACATCCCTTCTTGAAGTGAGTGATCATTGTTCTCTACGATATTCTATATCTTGCAGTTTTCTTTACGACATTCTATATCTTGCAGTTTTCTTTACGACATTCTATATTTTGCAATTTTCTTTACGACATTCTATATCTTGCAATTTTCTCTACGACATTCTATATCTTGCAGTTTTCTTTACGACATTCTATATCTTGCAATTTTCTCTACGACATTCTATATCTTGCAGTTTTCTTTACGACATTCTATATCTTGCAATTTTCTTTACGACATTCTATATCTTGCAGTTTTCTTTACGACATTTATATCTTGCAACGACATTCTATATTTTGCACGACATTCTATATTTTGCAGTTTTCTTTACGACATTCTATATCTTGCAGTTCACTTTACGACATTCTATATCTTGCAATTTTCACTAAGACATTCTATATTTTGCAGTTTCTTTACGACATTCTATATTTTGCAGTTTTCTTTACGACATTCTATATTTTGCAGTTTTCACTAAGACATTCTATATCATGCAGTTTTCTTTACGACATTCTATATCTTGCAATTTTCTTTACGACATTCTATATTTTGCAGTTTTCACTAAGACATTCTATATCATGCAGTTTTCTTTACGACATTCTATATCTTGCAGTTCTCTTTACGACATTCTATATTTTGCAGTTTTCACTAAGACATTCTATATCATGCAGTTTTCTTTACGACATTCTATATTTTGCAATTTTCTTTACGACATTCTATATTTTGCAGTTTTCACTAAGACATTCTATATCATGCAGTTTTCTTTACGACATTCTATATCTTGCAATTTTCTTTACGACATTCTATATTTTGCAGTTTTCACTAAGACATTCTATATCATGCAGTTTTCTTTACGACATTCTATATCTTGCAATTTTCTTTACGACATTCTATATTTTGCAGTTTTCACTAAGACATTCTATATCATGCAGTTTTCTTTACGACATTCTATATCTTGCAATTTTCTTTACGACATTCTATATTTTGCAGTTTTCACTAAGACATTCTACATCTTGCAGTTTTCTTTACGTCATTCTATATCTTGTAGTTTTCTTTACGAAAACTATCTTGCAGTTTTGAGCAAAGTTCTTTATATAGGTTAATTTTTTTTTAATAAGTATCCTAGCAAGCAAAGCTGTATTGCCACTAAGATCCAACAGGTTACAGGGTGTGGGAGAATTAGGAACAGAAACAATATTCATGAGCGGAAAGAGGAGAGAGTAAGCGGAAGGACATTAGATAGCGATTGACATTGAGCTGCCAGATCAGGGCCAATAATATTGCTGATTCTTTTTTGGATCTTATCAAGGAGCTCCAGGTAAATAGCAGGGACACCATATATGGCAGTAATATTCTAAGCATGGACGAATGTTAGGCTTATAGGTATGCGAAATAGATTCTGGAGAGGAAGAATATCTCGCTCAACTTTCATTTCCATAGAGTCTTTCCACTTAATATCAACAGTGTATGTAATCCCGACATAGAGCAACGGATCACTTTCCTGGAGGTTAGCATCAGCCATCCTGATGGAAAATGATTAATAGAGAGAAGTTTAGTTTGGGGGTCGTTAAAATTAACAAGCCATCTTTTGTCTCAGCGAAGGAGTTGAGGTCGTTTTGAAAATCGACTGCCATTTTGAACCTCGGCTGCCATTTTGAAACTCGGCTGCCATTTTGAACCTCGGCTGCCATTTTGAAACTCGGCTGCCATTTTGAATTGTTGGACTAATAAACCTTGCTATTACCTTACTAAGGCCAGAGTAAATTGTTGTGTCATCAGCGTAGATACCAAGTTGAGAGCTGATGTGATCAGGAAGGTCATTAATGAAACTTAAAAACAATGTATCACCAAGGATGGAGCCCTGGGGGGCACCTGCATTAGTACGAAAGGGTCTAGGCGAGTGGCCGTTCAAGAAAGAAGGGATCAGTTCAAAAATATGTCCAGAGGCAAAGTTACTTTTCAGCTTGTGAAGAAGACCTGAATGACTGATCCTGTCAAAGGCTTTCGAGATGCCCAGTGCGTTTTTATCTAGAGCATGATAGACTCTTTCCGCAAGTATCGTCAGTACATCTCCAGTTGATCTGGAGAAACGAAAACCAAAATGATTGTTTGAGAAAAGGCCCTGCAATGAGAGATGATGAACCAATTTCGCATTGATTAAGGCTTCTATAAGTTTTCCCCAAAAAAGGATAATAGGCCGATAGTTGGAATGGTCGGGCGGCCCACCATTGTTCTTAAAAACTGGAACATCAGATGATGAATTCCAGTAGACAGGGAAACAGAAGGCAGAGATGCATTTATTATACACTTTAGCCAGTTCACGTCTACATTCCTTAATTACAGGGATACCATTGGATCCACTTGCTTTGTGTGGGTCTAGGTTAGAGATGATAGAACAAATGGAAGCGGTTATATGCGTATCACTCAACAGAAACTCAGTTTTCGCGAAGAAGTTAAGCAAGGATATTCCGGAATCAAGATTAGAGCTTGGGGAAAGTTTACCGTCAAAGCATTCAGCTTTATCAGCTAAAATGTTGTTTTTTTTTATAAAATTGGAATTCTTTTCGGGAGTCGTTCTTCTCTAATATTGAGAGCAGTTTGTTTTCCAGTACGCCTTCGTCAATACTGAATGTCGAACAAGGTCAGTTTAATGGGTGTTTAACGTCAAAAATTATCAATGCTCCTCGGCACTTTCCAATATTGGATTCGCCTAAGGTGCCCAGAATTAAACCCAGCTATCCCATGAAGAGGGGTATTGCCTGGGGTTATCGTTCATCGTCTTGGGCGAATATTATTGGTAGAGGAACGTGTTGCTCATAATGACGGTCGTCTTCGAGTATAGAATCCAGAGGTTAGCAGTGAATATTTTGAAGACAGTCGGAAAGCGTTGTTCAGGTTAGCAGTGGATATCCCGGTAAAAGTAGCAGAGCATAGTTCGTCCTTCTGTTCCTCTTTGCCTGACAAGCTGGAACTGGACATTCGGGTAGAGTGAACAAAAATGGCCGCCTTTATACACGACGGATTGAATGTTCTACGTCTTCTGATTGGTTAACCTTCTATTGGTAGACTATAAAGTGAGTTAAGTCATCTGAGCTAACTCACTAATACACACACACACACACACATATATATATATATATATATATATATATATATATATATATATATATATATGTGAAAAGTGTATATAAATATAAATAAATATGTATATGTATAATTATTTATATATTATATGCGCGGTACTTATTAGAAAGCGCTCAATATCAGAGATAGAGCTAACATATTTGATTGGATAGATGTGAGTTTGTGACCCTGGGTTTCACGCTTTAGCGATCGTCAGACAAACTGATTAATGTTTTAAAATCTACACGCAATCTACATAAACCCAAATTTTAAAAAAAATTATTTCCCAGTACGCCCACGTCGGTACCGAATGTGAAACAAGGTCAGTTTAAAATCGGTTTAATAGCAATACATTAGAAAAATTATCAAGGACCCTCGGCACTTTTCCATTTTGGGGAAACCTCAGACGCCGGGCAATAAACCCAAACACTCCCCTAATGAGAGGTATGCATGGAGAGGCGGTCCCCTACAAATTGAGCGGATAATATTGGCAATGTAGTGAACCCATCTATCGAACAGTATACGATACTCGCATAGTGAAACCTGAACTAATCTTCAGGCATTTTGATAGTCTATGATTTAGCTTTACTATTTAGGCATATCACTAGAAAAATTCTTATTTTATATTACATGCCCTTTCAGCACTTGGATAATCATGTTTTTTTTTCAAAACTTGCTATCTCTTTGCCTTCATTCTCATCCGTTCGTTCAAGTTCCCTAGTTAGATTAATATTTGAATAAAATGTCTCCTTTTATGTACCATGTCTTTTTCATGATTTGGGGGATCATGACTCTCCACATCTTCCTGTCTTATGCAGCTCTCAGCAACGTTTGAAATTTAACCATCTCTTTATGTCATGACTCTGTCAACCATTCATACAAATTCCTTCGGGCGGTTAGACGTTGTTCTCCTCATTCGCTCCTATCTTCAGTATGTCCTGTGAGTGTTAAATTCTCTAAGCTCGCTTTCCTTTGAAATTTAACCATCTCTTTATGTCATCCCTCTGTCAACCATTCATACAAATTCCTTCGGGCGGTTAAACGTTGTTCTTCTCAGTCGTTCCTATCTTCGGTATGTCCTGTGAGTGTTACATTCTCTAAGCTCGCTTTCCTCATTATGTATCTCAGAAATTTTAACCGTCTCATTGTGAGTGTAAGCATCACTGTAAATTTAATTACCATTTTCTTTAAAACGTTCTTGT